TTGTTTCTGGTAAGAGCAAAAGGCACAGGTCAGAGCTCCTCGGGGAGGGCACGGGGCAACGTCTGCAGAGAGGAAGGAAGCAGGAGGTGAACTTCTGGTGGTGGTGTGCTTGGTGTGGAGGTGTCCCTGGGCCTGACCTCAGCAGTGCTCAGTCCCCTTTCCCTGTGTGTGCCCTTGCTGGAGCTCATCTCCCACACAGGGGGTGGGTTTCCTCACGCAGGGCCTGCCTGTGTCTCTGTTGTGCTGAGTGCAGGAAGGCTTTTGTCAGACCTTTCTCTGTGGCACCTGAGCTGAGAACAAGCTCTGAGCAGAGAGGGGGGGTGAGCCTGACCTGCTGGCCTGCTGCCTGTAGAGAAATGGACGCTTGGAAGCTGCTTTCCCTGGCTTCATCCCTGCTCCTTCTCCTGGCTCGCTGTTAGTCTCTCCTCCTTGCTCCCTGTTGCCCCAGCAGCCTGTCCAGCTCCTTCCCTGTCCCTCTGGAGAGCAGGCAGAGGGCAGGAGGCACCCAGGCTGCAGGAGGTGCATTCCTTTCTGCCTGGGTCGCCGTTGCTGGAAGGGTTGTCCTGTCTGGGAGGGTGGCAGAGGGTCCTCTCCTCCCCAGCTGCCTTTGTCCAGCAGTGTGCTGCCTTGCTCCTGCCCCAGGACCCGCCCTCCTACCTGGCTGCCAGGTGAGCCAGCCCAGAGTTGATCTGTTGTTTCTCCACAGAGAAAGGGAAGGAAAAGTTTGGTTTGCAAGCTTGAAAGTAAACCAGAAAGGGTTTGAAGTTGCTTTGCTTCTCCTTTGGGAGGAAGAGCCTTAACGCTCAGTGGCAGATGACATCCCCATGGCACGACAGCTTGGTGAGCAGCTGTGGAAAAGCCCCACATGTGGCTCCCTTCTGCTTCTGTATGCAGGAAACCTTACACAGGAGGGCTGCCCTGCCCTTCCTGGGGGGCTGGCTGTTACCTTCTCGGGGTGCTCTGGAGGGAAAGTCAGATTCTGTCGCTGTTGTAGAAGTTTGGGGGAAACTGAGGCCAGAGGGCAAGAAGTGCCCGCTGTCGTGCAGCTTTTGCAGCAGCCACCTCCCATCTGACTGTGGAAGGTTTCCCCATCCCGAGATGCCAGATCCCACTGGGCTGGACAGGCTGCTGCCAGTTCAGTCTGGCGTGATGTGTAAATGCTGCTCTGTTAGACCAGGATCTCCTGCCTGGGAGGTGGTTTGCCTGACTCCTTCCACATCAGGACAACGCTGCAGAGCACCAGCCCTCAGCCAGTCCCCTGCACAGTCTGCCAGAGGAATTGTCCTGGCAGAGATGAGCCGTTTAAATGAAGTGTCTGGTCTTGCTGCTGGGACTGTTTAATTTAGACTGCTGTTCAGACTGTTACCCACAAACTAGAGGGACCCACGCTGTCTTTAAACAGAAAATCACAACCCCACGTCCTCCTCCTCCTCTCTCTGCTGGCTGTTTGTGGAGTGCTGGCGGGTCACAAGGGAAGGTGACAAATCTGAACACCGGGGCAGGGCCCTGGGCAAAGTTCAGCCTGGAATCCACACCTGGAGCTTCCTCCTGTGCTGGTGCAGGGCAGCGGCGGTTGGCAGGGCTGGCAGCAGTGCTTGGCAGGGCTGGCACTAGCCAGGGGCCAGGCGTGGCTGTGGTGCTAGCAACAGCCCAGAGCTCGGTGCTATCGGGAGGCAGGGAGGGCCCTGGAACCAAACCCTCGTGTCCCTGCAGCTCCGTTCCACCTCTGCCTGCCCCACACTACTTAAGGAGCTTCTCCTGCAGGCTGTACCCGGGCTGGGCTGGCTGCAGGGAGCTCGGCAGATCCCAGGGATCACCCGACCCTGACCCTGCTCTGCACTGAGGAGGTGAGTCCTGGCACCTGCTTTCCTCTCAGCCTCCCAAATCTTCCCTCTCCATCCCTCTGCCCCCGGCTGTACCGGTCAGTGGTTGAAGTGGTTTTTGTGGTCTGTGCTGGCATTGCTTCCCAGCTAAGCCATCTGCCCCCCTGTATTCTGTGAATTGATGGGTACTGGGACAAAACACAGTCTGAACAGGAAAAGATTCAGAATCTGTTGCAACCTGTGTGTACGACCTGCTGGCTGCTGACAGCTTCTCGTCCTGGCTGTGCCCGAGTGTTGCCTCTGGGTGCACTGGGGGTTATTTTTTTCTTAAAGCCTTCTGAGAGTGTGGAAGGGGGAAGAGACAGATCTTCTCTTCCCTGCTGATAAGAAATCCAGGTGCTCTGCTTTAACCTGAAGTTTCCTTCAGGACAGATTCCTGCTCCCTCCCCAGGGCTGGAGATGTCACTGCCACAAAAGGGAAGAAAACCTTTTTTTGTTCCCTCTGTGCATGTCTCTGTGTGTGAGAGACATCTTTGACTTAATATTTGGGGTTTATCCTGGGGTAAATACCCTCTGTAAGCCTTCTAGACCCTGGACTACGGCAGATGGTGAACGTTACATCTCCTTTCCAGGTCTGGCTCAGAGGGATGGTGGCTGGGTTCATTTTGGCTTGTGAGCCTGCTTCCTCTGGCTAACAGCCCCGAGGCGTGTGCTGCTGGAGGGCTGCAGCCTCAGTCCCTGCCCCCAGGCTGTCAGGCAGCTGGGCACCCATCAGAACCCAACAAGGCTGAGACATCCTGTGTCTAGCCCACATCTAAGCAAGGTGGTTGCTGCCCCCAATTGCTTCCTTGCAGATAGAGTGGATCTGAAGTAAGGCTGAGCTGTCTGGGGCCTCTGAGGATCCCTTTGAAGCCTTGTCTAGTGATTAAAGGAAAACTGTTGCTCTTCCCCCTCTGCCGTTAGGTGGCTGTTTGACCTTGGGCAAGACATTTAAATGTTCACAGTTGTTAAAAGGAGATGTCTTTTGTGACAGCCCAGGTCTCTGTGAGCGTGGAGGGGGAAGGTGAGGGATCCTGGAAGGAAAATAATCAGTCAGTGTGTGTCATTGGCAGCCTGTCAGCTCCCCAGCCTCCACGGGTGCCTCCCCTCTGCAGCAGCCAGAGGTGGGGAGCAGTGCTTGCATCTCTGTGAAAACCTCAGCACCACACTTCCAGCTTCCCCCAGTCAGCTCCCTGGGGGTTATCTGTCTGACAGCAAGAGGGGAAGAAAGAGAAAAGTGAGACTGCAGGAACCATCCCAGCTGCAGCACTGCTGTAGTGACAGAGGGCGAATGCACGTGCTCTGGGAAGTTTGGGAGCTCTAACCTGCACCAGGTCTGCTGAGCATGGGGGGTTTTGTCTCTTCCCAGCATAGCTGTGGCAAGGCTAAGGGCCAGCTGGGTCAGCAGCTCCTCCTGCTTGCACACTTTGCATCCTGCTCGTCCCTCTGAGGGGCAGCAGGTCCTGCTCTGTGAGGTCTGACCTGCTCCACCGAGCGTGGTCCAGCACTGGCTGCTGAGGAGGAAAGGCTGTTGGCCTGGAGACCTTCCCTGTAGGAGCCTTTTCCTCTCCTCTGCAGCCAAAGCAAAGAATTTACAGGGGGACTGGGTTGCAAAACTGGCTTTTCACCTCATTTCTTCTGATGGGTTCACTCTCTGCAGCTAAGTAAGGGGAGCTCTGTCCCAGCTGGCTGTGCTGGCACGGAGAGGGTGTAGGGGCAGGTACCCAGCTACAGCTTCCCCAGAGCCAGGGAGGGAGCAAGCAGAGAGAAACTCTTCCACCTGCATGTCTCACATTCTGTTCAGCCTCCTTCATCCAGAGGAGCCAAAGCACTTGGGGGCTGGGCTGTGGTGGGACAGCTCAGGAGGGCCATGAGTCCTGAGAATTTGACTGCAGTTTGGGTTACTCTGAACTGATACCAGTGCAGGAGCTTAATGTCACCTTTCTTGCTAAGCCATTCTGCCTTTCCCAGCATAGCTGCAGACCATCTTCCTGAGCTGCTTTTAGGAAAACAGCATTTGGTGGGCTGGCTTTGATGCTGGTCACCTTGCAGGATTTCTTACATTTGTAGATGGCCATAGCAGCAGCAGGCTCATAAAAAGCTACTGAGGCACCTGCTTACTCCTGCCTGGCTGCTTAGCCCCTCTCCTGATCTGGTGGCCTCTCCACTCTGAAGAAGGCTGGAAAAAGGGAGCCTGTTACAGGGCAAATAAATGACTCAGTCTAATGAGTAAGGTAATTGCTGTTCACTGTTAGATGAGGCTAAAGTGGGTCAGGTTTGTTTGTGAAACTCCATGGAGGCACCATCTGTTTTCTGTGCCCCATCTAGGAGGCTGGAGAGAGGATTTGGGTGAAACTGCTTCCCTGGGAGCCTGTGGAGCAGCACAGGGGATGCCCAGGTCACCCCCCAGGTCATTAGGCAGTGCTGTGGGTCTCTGGAGATGACCCCATGTGGCTGCAGGCACTCGCCTGAGCCTCCAAGGGGAATCTTAATTGATTTCACTGGGAGAGAGGACCCTAAATCCTTTGTCTCTCTGCTGCAGCTGCCCATCTGTAAGATGAGGCTGGACAGGACACTGAGAGGTCTTTGGGGCTCCCTGAGCCCGAAGGTGGGATTGGATTTCCCAAAACGTGTCTGAGAGGTGCCTGTCTCACCTGTCACAAGCCCTCAGAGAGAAACCTGGCACCAGTGTCAGTCCTGGCTGTGAAGCCTGGACTCTCACCCTCCTGTGGCTGCAGGCCTGCTGGGGTGGGAGCTGTGTCTCCCCTGCCCCAGACCCTCTGTCTCTCCCGAGGTCTCTCCTCTCTCACGTGGCTGCAGGCCTGCTGGGGTGGGAGCTGTGTCTCCCCTGCCCCAGACCCTCTGTCTCTAACGAGCTCTCTCTTCTCTCAGACCGCAGCATGTGAGCAGAAGGGGAAGCCTGGAGTGGGATCCCTGCCTGCCCACGCCCGGACTCACCGCTGGGGCCACGTCTTGCACTCAGAGGAGGAGGAAAGGACAGTTCTTCCACCCTCTCTAAAAATGGGTGGCAGCATCCATCCAGCAGACGGGGAAGGGAGGCTCCAGCCCTCGCCCGCGGGGCAGCCCCGGGAGCGCCGCAGCCCCGCAGCCCTGGCACAGTGAGGGGTGCTGGGCAGCATGGCTCAGAGGGGCTGGGGCAGCCTCTCCTTCCACAGCCGCAGGACCCAGCTCCTGCTGGTCAACTCCCTGACGTTCGGCCTGGAGGTGTGCCTGGCTGCAGGGATAACCTACGTGCCCCCGCTGCTGCTGGAAGTGGGCGTGGAGGAGAAGTTCATGACCATGGTTTTGGGTAGGTGGTTTTTCTCTCCGCTTCAAGGGCCTTGTTTCCCCTTCAGGTCTGGAGGGCAGGGGCAATTAGGGGAATAGAATCGTAGAATGTTTGGGTTGGAAGGGACCTCCAGAGGTCATCTAGTCCAACCCTCCTGCCATAAGCAGGGACATCTCCAACTAGGTCAACCTGCTCAGAGCCTCATCCAGCCTGACCTTGAATGTCTCCAGGGATGGGGCCTCTGCCACCTCTCTGGGCAACCTATTCCAGTGACCTATCACCCTCATATTAAAGAACTTTTTCCTAACATCTAACCTAAATCTCCCCTTTTCTAGCTTAAAGCCATTACCTCTTGTCCTCTCACTACAAACCCTAGTGAATGGAATGGCATGGAGGCTTGTCTCTGTGGGGTGGTTGCAGGGTTACCATGATTTCAAGGGCAGTCTTGTGTTCCTGAAATGCCCCGGGCTTTTTCTGCAGCACATACAGACCTCTGGCCTCCAGCTCTGTCTCCACAACACCACCTCTTTCTCTTTCCCAGGGATAGGACCTGTCCTTGGCTTGGTTTTCGTCCCTCTGATCGGATCCGCCAGCGACCACTGGCACAGCAGCTACGGCCGAAGGCGACCCTTCATCTGGATGCTCTGCCTGGGAGTCCTGCTCAGCCTCTTCCTTATCCCTCATGCCAGCAGCCTGGCCAGCCTCTTCGTCCTCAACCCTCGCCCTCTGGAGATCACCTTCCTCATCCTGGGCATCGGGTTGCTGGATTTCTGCGGCCAGGTCTGCTTCACTCCTCTGGAGGCTCTGCTCTCAGACCTCTTCCAGGAGCCAGACAACTGCCGCCAGGCCTTCTCCATGTACGCCTTCATGATCAGCCTGGGGGGCTGCATTGGCTACCTGCTTCCAGCCATCGACTGGGGGGCCAGCTTCCTGGCCCCGTACCTGGGAGGGCAGGAGACCTGCCTCTTCAGCCTCCTCACCATCATCTTCCTCTGCTGCGTGCTGGCCACGCTCTTTGTGACAGAGGAAGCAGCCAGCCAGGCAGATGCTCTGGATGGCCCGGCGCTGAAGGACACTCCCCCGAAGCCCTCACCCCCTGCCTGCTGCTCGTGCCAGCTCTCCAGGAGCTCGTGTCTCCTGCAGGCCAGGCACATGGTGCAGGCCCTGAGAAACCTCTGCACGCTGGTGCCACGGCTCCACAGCCTCTACTGCCGCATCCCCAGGGTCATCCGGCGCCTCTTCGTGGCTGAGCTCTGCAGCTGGATGGCTCTCATGACTTTCATGCTGTTCTACACAGACTTTGTTGGGGAAGGGCTGTACCATGGTGTGCCCAGAGCCAAGCCGGGCACCGATGCCAGACGGCACTACGATGAAGGTGAGAGGTCACCCAGCTGCTCTGAGGCTCCAGGACCTGTTCCCTGGGACAGCAGAGCTTAGTGACACAGGTTTTTTTGCCACAGCTCACCACTGGAGTCTGCAGCTGCCACGTGCAGGCCGTGGGATGCTGGTCACAGCAGAACTTGTCCTGCTTTGCTCCTGTTTTGGCTGCTGTGCCAAAGCCTTGGCTCACTCTCTAGCCCTTCTTCCCTTCTCCCTGATCTAAGTCTTTTCTTCTTTGAGGCACCTTCCTGGCCCTGCTCCTCCAGCTGTCTGTCTTGCCCCCTGAGTTTTCCACTCGCTGCCTCGGTGAGCTCTGCAGCACACTGCCTCTTTGTGCCCAGAGCCTGTTTAACCTAGAGGGAGCTTAATTATTATTTAACACTCTATAGCTTCCAGCAGGTCAGGACTCCATTGTGCTAGCTGTCATAGAAACGTGTTGAGTAATGATCCTTGCTCCAAAGAGTTAATGCTTTTAATTCCCTGAAATCTGCTAGATCTTTGGAAGGGGTAAGGTCCGGATTGCTGCCGGATACTGCAGTCCTGTAGTGGGGGTTGTACACTTTACCTTGGCTTAAGCACAATTCCTTGTTCCTTTTGTTCCGTTGCTGGTTTTGGCATCGGGTAACAACAGATCCTGGTTCATGAGCAGGTGACAGATCCTGGCTCAGCAGGTAGGAAAGTGTGAACAACACGACTGCTAAAGACAAGGCTGGGGTTGGGATGCCTATCTCCTGTTGCCTTTCTGGTTAAACTGGGGTGCTGCTGGTGGAGGGTGGGAGCTACAGCCTGGCTTGGAGGCAATCACCATGTTAGGGGATGCTGCCAACCAAGCCAGGCACCAAAGGAGCCCCGAAGGTGCTTGGTTCTGTGGCACCCGGGTGCAGTCAGGGCAGTGCCAGTCACCACCTCTGCTTACCCGCAGGTGTCCGGATGGGGAGCTTGGGGCTCTTCCTGCAGTGCATCACATCCATCTTCTTCTCGACAATCATGGACTGGATGGTGAAGCAGTTTGGGACACGGGCAGTCTACCTGGCCAGCGTGGTGTTCTTCCCCGTGGCTGCCTTCGTCATGTGCCTCTCCCGCAGCGTCGTCGTCGTCACCATCTCGGCTGCCCTGACAGGCTTCACCTTCTCTGCACTCCAGATCCTGCCCTACACGCTGGCGTCCCTCTATCACCACGAAAAGCAGGTAGGGATCTGCTCCAGAGGTCCAGGTGCCAGGGAGCTGTGAGGACTTGGCCAGCCTCTTTTGTCACGTGTGGCTGGGAGAGTCAGCTCAGCCTGGGGAAGGGAAGCACTGTGTGCAAAGGTTCCCGGCTGGGCTTCCTCTGAACATACATCTCTGGGAGAGTCAGCTCAGCCTGGGGAAGGGAAGCCACACGTGCCTCGTCTCCCGGCTGGGCTTCCTCTGAACATACATCTGAAATGGAGAAGATAAGAGTTTAGCATCTTCCTTAGGCATCCCCTCCTCCCAGCAAGCATTATCACGGAATTATAGAATCATTTAGGTTGGAACAGACCTTGAAGATCATCATGTCCAGCCATGAACCTAACTCTGCTGAGTCCACTGCTAAACCGTGTCCCTCAGCACCACATCTACACGACTTTTAAACACATCCAGGGATGGTGATTCGACCACTTCCCTGGGCAGCCCGTTCCAGTGCTTGAAATCATGCCATTTTAAAAAGTGGGGTGTGAGGAAGGTGGGAAAATTCAGCTAGGACTGGTGTATCAAAAGGGGTGTCCTGTGTTCCTCTGTGTACTGCATGATTTTAGGGAAGCTGGTGCAGGTTAGTTAATACCTGTGAGCATTCTGCAGCCAAGTCACATCTGCAGCACTGTCATCCTGAGGTGCTAAAAAACTCAAGAATTTTCACCCCTTAGGAGCTCTGCTTTCCAGTTTTGTCCACACCATGGAGATGAGCAAAACAAAAACTGAGGTTCTTCCTATTCCTATTCCCCTAGCTCCAAGGAAAATAAATGTTGTGAAACTTTTAACACCAACACAAAAGCTAGTTATCCTGCCCCACAGATGTTATCCTTGTGGAGAAGTCCTAGGAGGTTCCCAAGCTGCACATTGGACTAATAGGAGTCTCTCTTGTGCTGCAAATGCAGAATTAATTTGTGGTTTGGGAGCAGCTCTTTCATCCCCGTGGCCCGTGGTTCGCTGTGCAGTGACATAAGTAGGAGTTTTTTTACCACAGGCATCCAGATGTTCACATTGGACAAATATTTCTGACCGACCCATCCCAATGTGCAGCAGGCACCCTGTCAGAACAGGGGGAGGGAGGGAGTGGTGTTCTCTGCACACACTTGAGTTTGGCTGGGATCTCCCATGGACAGCATGAACAGCGCAGGGCTGGTGGGGGATGTGAGGACCACATGCCCAACTGTTCCCAAAGGGCTGATGGGGAAATACTCTGAGGTGTGGGGTATAGCTGGTTTGGGTCACTCTGTGGCCCTAGCTTGAAAGTTCCTCCTTCCTTTGCCAGCTACTTGCTGCAAAGAGACCCCACAAGTAGTCCCCAGATACCTTCTGCAGAGAATTCTCCACCTTCCCCATTCCTGTTCTCATCTTTCTTCTTACTGCTGAACTCTGTTGTCATCTTTGTTTGCCTCCCCTCATTCCCACTTCCCCTCTTCCCTCTCTTTTGCTACTTTTTTAAACTTTAAACACTCCTTCTGAAGCCAGTCAGCAGAAGGGGCATCCAAAGTGGCTGTTGCTTCCACCCTGGCTAAAGCCTGCAGGGCCACCCCGGCTGGAGCTCCTGGCTTTGCACAGGCTGTGTAAGTGGCTCTGTCTCACCTTCACGTGGCCACTAGACCTTCTCTAGAACAGGAGGAAAAGATCTGCATGTTCTACCAGCACCTGAAAGCCTGGCAGAGATGCCTGGTGGGCATTCACACCTTCTGCAGGAGGTGAGGGAGAGCAGAGCTCCTCGTTCCCATCTCTCCCCAGCAGCTACAGAGGGGGGTGAAGCTGCTGATTGAGGCACGGGTGTCTCCTGGGGTTGTATCCCACCTTACAAGGAGTGATTTTCAAGCATAAATTCTCACTAAGCTTCTTGCTGTGAGCATGTTAGTAATTTTCTCCAGATTTAAGCTAATTCTTCACGCTAGGTATCGAAACGCCGCTGCCAGGACTCAAATCTCTCAAGTCCTCCCCTGGATCAGTACAGAAAGGAAGAAAATGTGGCATGGGCCTTCAGGGCAGCTGAGCAGGCTTCTGGGAATGTGGGTGTCAAAGATGAAGGGCTGGAACTGGGGGGGACATCCTCGTTTGGCTCACACCATGAATGCCCTTTCTGTTCTGGGTTCTGAGTCGCTTTGAAGTCTGATGGCAATGGGAGGCACGTGGGAGGATTTTTAAGCTCCACATGAGATAAGTGACAGTCCAGATTGATGCATTTGAGCGTAAATTCATGTGCCTTGGCAGAGCTGAGGAGCTGAAGGGTATAATGAGCAGCACAGAGCCCAGGTAAAGCTTTTGGAAGACAATTACTGCTACTTAGTGAGGTTCTTCTCATCAGGTTTCTCTTCCCCCACTGAATCTGTGCTGCAGATCTGCAGCCGTGGCCTGGGGCAGTGTGAGCAGGGCCTGGCTGGTGCTGGCACACACCCGGGCAGGGCTGGGTGCAGCTGGGTGGGTGCCAGGAGCTCTGGAAGCTTTGGGATGGCCTGCAACAGATGTGGGGTGCCCACACTCCTGCAGCAGCCGTTGCCTCCTGCTCCCCTGTGCCCGGGGCCCTCCTGCAGCAGGAGGTGGTTTGGGCAGACCCCTCAGAGCCCTGAGCTGGGCACAGTGCTCTCTGCTCTCCAACAGGTGCTGGTTTTTCCTTTTCATTGTCTTTGTTTGTTCAACCTCACCGTGTGGATAATGGATTGACGTGTCCTTCGTTATCTGCTCTACCCCATGCAGACCAGTGGTTGTGCCTAATTGCAAATGCCCTGGAGTTTTAAAGCTGGAGCTTTTCACTTTTCTGCACATGACTGCCCATTATTTGTTGGCGTTAACGTGGGGAACTTTTTGATCCAAATATTGTGGGTGAGTCCTGCTCGAGGGAGCGGCGCCCCAGAGATCTCACAGCTTGAGCAGAGCGAGGCAAAGAAAGGGGTGAGAAGAAAAAGATGTTTCTTCCTGCACCCCCCTTTCCTAGCCTGAGTGGGGAGGCTCAGCTCAGGCAGATGAGGTCATGCCTGCACCGTCTGTTGCAGAGTTGAGGAAAGCTCCTGCCCACGTTTTCAGCTCTCTGCCACCTCAGCTGGTGTCACTTTTAAGGATCTCAGATATTACAAAGTGCCCGTGCATCCAGGGCTCTGAACTGTTCACCTGCCCTGGGGGCTCTTCTGCGGGAAGGGTTTGAGTTCCTGGTCAGCCACTTTACAAACACTTCTGTTGGCACTGGGGTGCACTCCCTGGCTTGGTGGTGTGTCCAGAATCGCCTCTGGCCCTTCCCTTCTGTCCTGCAAGTGTGCATCAGGTGATTTCAGGATGAGGTGAGCTGTACTTAGTGCCCAGCTTCCCCTGGCACCCAGTGAGGAGGGAACAGCTCAGCACAGTGTCCCCAGGCTGAGCCTGGGCTGGCTTGGGGCTGCAGCCCCTTGGCCGGGTTCCCCCGGTGAGTCAGGGTTGCTTTGGGTCCCGTGCCAGCTGGGAAAGCCAGGCTGGCTCCTGGAGGGCACCTCACGTGGGCCAGGCTGGGTGCAGGCACTCCCCACCTCCAACGGCCTGAGGCAGCACACAAAGCACGGCGTGGTTTTGCTCTCTTGCACAAAACACGGGGCCCCCTCTGCCCCCCACCTTCCCCACCCATCCCTCACGTGCCCTCCTTTCCCCCCTAGGTGTTCCTGCATAAGTACAAGGGCAAAGAGAAGGAAGATGCAGCTCGATTGGACAAGAAATCAGCCTTCTCTAAAGGCCACCTTTCCAGCCAGAAGCTGCCTTACCAAAATGGACATGCTGGGAGCCTCTTCTCCTCCTCCTCCTCCTCCTCCTCCTCCTCTCCTGCGGCCGCGGGCTCGGCTCTGTGCGTCAGCTCCTCCTGCGACGTCTCGCTGGTGATGATGGTGGGAGAACCTGACCCCGTGGCTCCCGGCCGGGGGATCTGCCTGGACCTGGCTATTCTGGACAGTGCTTTCCTCCTCTCTCAGGTTGTGCCCTCCCTCTTCATGGGCTCCATCGTCCAGTTTACGCAGTCGGTGACTGCCTACATGGTGTCGGCTGCTGCCTTCGGCCTGGTGGCCATTTACTTTGCAACCAAAGTTGTCTTTGATAAGAGTGACATGGCAAAGTACTCGGCGTGATGGGGAAAGGCCAAGGGCAGGGCAGGAGGAGACCCGTGGCCACCCCTGGAAGCCTCGTGTGGCACCTGCTCTGCCCATGCTGTTGCCGTAGCCCCTGGGGGGTAGTTCTGGGGCTGGGGGGCACGAGAGGTGGAGCAGGGCTGATCTCAGGTGTAAATATGAGGCCCTGGGGCAACCTTGGGGCTGTCAGTGCTTTCCAAAGGTGCCTTTCTCAAAAGAAAGTGCTGCACAGCCAGCACCAAAGGGGGTATGCAGGGGAGAGAGGGGAAATGGGCTTTGCCTTCCATAATGGGTCATGTTCCTGAGCAGGAGAGACAGTGGAACTGGGAGGGGAGGGAAAAAAATCACTGTCTCTCCTGTGTTCCAGTGACAGCTGTATCCTCTTCCCCTGCTTGTCATAGTTTTACCCAACTTCTTGAGCAATACTTCTGCAAATAGGACACTGGGAGGAGATTTCTTTGGGGTAAAAATAAAAGGGTGGCTAAGGTTTGGCCATGGAGCAAAGGGGGTGCCTCTGTGTGCACCTTCCCCTCCTCTGTTCTGGCTGGGAGGAGCCCTGCAGGAGAAAAGTTACTATGTCTTGTTTTGGAAAAACAAGTAAGGTTTCATTAGGACCAATTCCAAAAGGTGACTTATCTTTTACCTATGCACGGAGGTGCAAATTGCATCAGATGGAAAGGACTTCACACTTTTTTTAATGATTGTTTTTAGCTTGCCTCCCACAGTTCTCAGTGACTGTGACCTCTAACAGTGCTCAGAACTGCTGCCTGCACTCTCCCCTAACAGTTCTACACTGTTGTTGCCTGTCCCACACCTGGCCCCTAAAAGATGCTGCCATAGCACAAGGAAAATCTGTTCTCAGGGGGTTTTCAGTCCTGTGGCAATGAAGTAGAACAGAAAGAGCTTTTCCCAGGGCTGCCTGGGAACACGCATACCAGGCCTGAGGAAGCTGGAGGAATTGCTGATCCAGGTTACAGATTTATTGTGTTACACTTTGTTTGGGCTTTTTTTTTTAAAAAAAATACTTTATTTTCTTCCCAGAGAGGAGTGATTGTTCTTCCAGAGGCACAGCATAAAACCTGTTAGAGGAAGGCAAAGTGCCTTTTGCTCCCACAGCACTGGGGCCAAATGCTCCTGGATTACTCAGGCTGTTCAGCTCCCAGGTTTGACTCTTCCTCCCCTGGCAGAAGAGTGGCTGCAGCTCTGTGTCCTTCTGGCCAGTCCCATTCCCTGTGTGAGTGGACCAGCTGGAATAATTCCACTGGTGGCAGACTTCTACCATTCAAAGGCTACTTGGACACCAAGTAGGAGTCATGGTCCTGGCCCACAGTCAACACTTAGGCTTTGAAATGATCCAAACTCTGCCTACAGCGTGCAGAGGAGACGTGTGACTGGGTCCTTTGGAGGCTGGGCTGTGAGTGTGCAGAAGTCCAACAGCCCCTTAACTTCAGCAGGTCTAAACTGAGTGTTTGTGAGTAACTTTCTGGGAGGTGTGTGGGCAGTGAGATGCGCTGGTGAGGTTCGGCTGAAGGGCAAAATGTTGCTATTTTTTGCAAGGTCTTGTCAGACTATTCCTTGGCACGGAAGCAAATTACTCCCCTGCTGTCTGCAGACAGGTCCTGAGAGGGCTGCTCAGTCTGCTAAGCATTTCTTTCCCGTAAAGGGTCACTGTTTTTGTTTCATTTCTTCTCAAATTATATGCCTACCAGCCTCCCTCTCCCACAAGAGGGTTTGTGTGCTGAAGTGCAGCTGTTTTGGGGATGGATTTGGCAGCTACTTAACCCCCTATGGAAACAAGTTTCTGTCTGTCCTTCCTACTCTGGTCTCTTGTCCACTTCAGGCTTCAGGAGGAAGTCTTTGAGGCACAATATTACTGCCAAAGGTGGGGTGTTTGTTGGATGAATGCTCCTAAAGATCAGGAACCTCTGACCCTCAGTGATGAGGAATCCTTTTTGGGTTTATTTAATATATAAAATGCAAGGAACCTTCACACATGGAGGCTGTTACAAAGCCAAGTGCTTTTGATAATCGAGCCATTTGTTTAAGTGCCTAATGAGTACTTCCACACCAAACTTCACCTGTGTGGCTGTAGGGATCAAAGCTTTGAGTGCTTCATCACAGACATCTGAGCAGCAGGCTGGCAGGGGAGACAGCCTTGGTTTGGAACATGAAAGAACAGCCTCGTGCCAGGCTGATCCCAACTGCCTGCCTAGTCTGAGCTCAGCTCCTGAGCAAGGTTGTTGCCTTTGCTGTCCCTGCAGCAGCCCTGTGTGTGTGTCTGTTATCACCAAAAACCTTTCTTCTCGTCCAGGCTGGTGCATCAGGAGAGGCATTTCCCAGAGCATCTGCTGAGAAGCTCCTGTCTTTCTGAGATTGTCCTTTCTGGCTAAGCCAGTGTGCTTCTGCTGGGGACAGCTCTGCATTGGGCTTGTGTAGGGACCAGCAAGGGACACGGGTGTGTCCTACTACAGGCAAGTGTGTCCCTTTCCTGCTGTTACTGACAGACCCTGTGTGAACTTGGAAACCTTTCCACTCCTCGATCACACTGGAGAACTTACAGGTATCAGGACAAGCTCTTCAGAGACAGTTACCACGAGCTTTTCTGGGTCAGGCAGTAGCTGCATTTCTGCTTTATTCTCACGGGTGGGTCGTGCTGTGCCTCTGCTTTCCTTTGGGGAGGGTTTGAGGCTTGCCATGGGGGGGGCAGAGGGCAGGGGCAACGTCTGGTGAGCGTGGGGCTGGCATGACCCACGAGGGCAGGGGAGGGTCTGGGTGCTGGTTGTTCTCTCGGGGTTACGTACTGTCCGCAGGACGTCCGCGGGTTATTTATTCAGCAGAGTGACTATTTTGTATACAGCGGCAGAGGAAGGATGTTCTACGTGTTTATGAAAAGGAAATAAAAGAGAAAGCGTCGGAACGGGACAAGTGTCGAGCGGCGGCCGCTGGGTGGCGCCAGAGCGGCGGGGCCGGGGCCGGAGGGGGCGTGGCCTAGGGCGG